CAACTAGCACCTAGGTATCTGAGTGCTGTGATACACTTGAAGCTAGACTGGATCGGTTGTAACAAGTTATTTTAATGTGAAATATCACTAAGAATATTATAGATTAGTAGTACTGAAGAATGTATGATTACAGCCAATTCTATATTGACTAATACAAAGGGTTGAGGCAATTGGATCGATCATTTCACAATATAGTCAATATGCTAAGCGACTGACCACCGAGATGCACTTCGATTGACGATAATTGGTTGAAAGCAATCGATAGGAAGCTATCAACTCAGGTTTCCTGCTTGTTGGCACACATTAAGAAGGTGGATATGAAAACTCAAAAGAACTGACATCCCCTAAAAGATCAAAACCTACGTCACTCAGTGATGTAGTTAGCGATGCTACCACTAAGTTATTCGGGCTGGAATCAACTTATTGTAGGACTAAATAATATGTAGTGATTATTCACTTCGACAAGCAAGAAACTTAGGTTTAGGGTTTTCCTGCTGAATGGTTCTACCCATCCTATATCAACAGAAGTGAATCGTAGTCCATTGCCAAGCTTACTTACTGACCACGTTGGAAAATGATTGATAGGGTTTGGCCAGTACACGAGGTTGTTTGCTCACCAATGGTCGATCGGTATATATCATTCAGTCTTACAATATGTCAATCATAATGTAGTGGGCGTTGCTCATCAGAATGGATATAAGTAGTTTATGTTGAGAGGGCGGCTGAAATCATAGGGAATTACCAGGAATGGGTAAATATTCTGCCCGGAGAAATGCAAGAGACAATCCGGCCGTATTAAGAGAAAATCAAGATAGATGAAGAAGAAGAAATGAAGCATTTTATGCAGGTGGAAGGTGTAGTATATTTGATGACTACTGTATAAGATGTATATAATGAACATTGCTTCCTTCGTCTCCGTCTTGTCGTTTTCTACAGTCACCAAAATGGCTCAGTAGTCATCTCCGACTACAGTGTTGGATGATTCGGGTCGGGATATGCAAAGTGATATCATTTTCTTCGAGGTTGCAGAGACACCTTGTTGGCGAGTGTCAACAAGCAGGCGAATTGGATGTATTGGTTTCCTATCAACTATCTCCCACCCCAAAATGGTAGAACTCCATTCACAGAAATTGTGTAGCAACTGTAATTCCACTTATTTTATTCCCATACATGAATACTATTCCAATTTTTACTTACATCCATGTATTGCTGAAAACTATTATGATTGGAGTTGGTTCTGTGTAGTCACATAGCCTTCAGGTCATATGTTCTCTGAGCGTCCAGATTGGTTTGGCGAAAAAATAGTAGTAAACGACAGTTAAGTGATACATTTAACTATTAAATTTCTCATATGAAGTATATTAGAAGCTATTCATTGTAATCCAGAATGTACGTTTCGTCCTACTTGGAACTCGTCAGCTGGATGTACCTGGCTCCTAGTGAACGATGTTGTTCCCACTAAGACTCAAACCCAAGACTGATCGCTTCAAACGCGAAAGCATTACCCACTGAGCGACAGCCACTCGTGTGAAGCGGATAGTTGATATGATGTCGCTTGTGTTATCTCGTCGATAATTGAAAATACAGGCAATATATAGAGGTATCTGCATAAAAGCCAATACATACCGACCCATTCGACCAACTTGGAGCCTTCTGGGCATGTTGAATGGTTCAGAGCGTTGACTATTCCACTTATCTGGGAATTCGGATCAGTCTCAGTGACCGATGAAACCTCTTCACGGATAGGAAAGGTTCGACCGGCTTTCGCACACATACACCACTTTTGGTGCCGCCATGATATCCGATTGCATTATTCAAGGTCGAATGTACCGTTCTGTTGTATGGCTCTGAAATACGGATATTAGGGGGGAAGAGGATGAGGAGGTTTCAGATGTCCGACCATCGTTGACCTCGTAGTATAAGTCGTGTGTCGAGATGTCACTGCATCAGCAATACAAAAGTCAATTGATGTGGTTGAGAACCTTCTTCGACTGAGACGGTGGCTGGGACATGTGTTACGCATGCCTAGTCACCGTCTGGCTCGTTACATAATGTTGGTTGAAGTAAGTTTAGGTATGAAAACATGGCATCAGTATATGAAGTCCTTGACTATTGCTCTGAATCGTGTACGAAAATGTAGACGTCCAAGTTGTGGTACGGCTCAGGATCGATGCCAGTGGCGCAGATGTATGCACGCATTGTCCTCATCTTATTCCTCCTTCCATCTTACTACTTTCTACTGCTTTTGATCGAGTCTTCTCTACTCCTAAATCTTTCATCTTAGTACTTTTCCGCTTGATGTATTGATATGAAGAGCGGCAACATGGATCAATATGCAGTAATGCTTGGTCCTAAGTTGATGATGATATTAGGTAATACTTTCCAAAAATGAAGAAATATGGCCTGGTGATTATAGGATTTGGCTTCCAACCACTGGATTTTAAATGAGAACCGCACCACCTGGATTACTAAGGTTTGGACAACACCAGAGGACGAATATGCATCCGATCACTGAGTTGAACGCCTGTTTCAGTTTACCAGATCTATTTATCTCTCCCCACTTATTTTTGTAGGATATTCATCAAATAATGAATGAATGAAGAAACCCATTTCTCTTGTTAAGTTGAATGAAATCTAGCAAGGCAGAAGACAAGTATGAATTTCAGGAAGAAAGCAAAATCTTATCTTCCTTGATTCCTGTCTCGTGCGTATATATAATTGTATAATAATAACAACAGAAGCATGACAAGGAAACAAAATTAGTGGCTGACAGACAGACAAAATCAACCTAGAACCTCGCTGCATAAGTTCAAGTTACCACACTTCACAGTAGTTTACAAAAAACAGTTGGATAGAAAAGGAGTGTTATCAAAGTAGACGAAATTGTGCGACAGAATAAACAGTATGAGGACAACGGTTGATGTGAATATTCAAGCTTTAGATGTTATGGAGTGAATACATCTGCACCATTGTCATCGATTTCCAGCGATGTCACCGACAGTCATCAACCGCTGATTCCTATCGTCTCGAAGATATCAAGCCATGCAGTCGAAATCTCCCAGTACGACTCAGATCAACAGTCAGGGACTTTATCGACTGATGCTAGGTATTGGTCCGGCTACCATGAACCCTCTTCCAGCGTTATTTAGCTTAACCCAGCATAGCACACCAAGGTAGGCGGTGGGTCATTATGCACAGCACATGTCGGAGCCACCTCATAAAGGTTAACAACTTCATCAATCGACTTACCTGTGCTGTCTATTACCCCTCACCTGACCTTAATATTGTTGATACGGTGATCCCACAAAACCCAGGCGATGCCACGAAGATAGCTGTAATCAAAGCCCATGTAACCGCTTCGTGTCTTTTACATTTAACGGTCATGTCTCACAGTGTCATAACCCTTAAAAGTGGATGAACTATGTAAGTAGTAGTGTACCTACCTATTATTATTATCAGTCCCTTGGGTTCCTAGTGGAACATAGGGCTTCAGTAGCACGTCTCCAGTGACCTCTGTTCTCTGAGATCCTTTGAACCTGGTTCCACGACAGCCCACAAGCTCTCATTTCCTCCTCGCACGATCTCCTCCATGTCACCCTCTCCTCCGATGCCCAACTCGTCGCTTCCCATGGGGATTCCACTCGAAGGACTGGCCTGGCCTGACGCGTGATGTCCCCAGTCGGCCTTCTCAGTGCATGCCCAATCCATCTCCACTTCCTCCTGCATATTTATTGAGTGATAGGTTCTTGGTTGGTTCGTTCCCAGAGTTCCTTGTTGCTTATTCTTTCTGGCCATCTGATCTACAGTAGCGAGCCTGCGTAGGCAGTTGTTGATGAATGTCTGTAGTTTATTGGAAATCCCTTTCGTAACGCGCCAAGTCTCTCAACCACCACATAGAAGCACTGACTTGACTGGATTGGTGTTGAAAATCCTGATCTTGTTCCACATGCTGAGTGCAGAAGATCTCCACACTGGTTTCAGTCTAATGAACGCCTGTCTTGCTTTTCCGATTCTCACTTTGACATCCTCGTCTGTGCCTGTGGCGCCTGTAGTTGAAACAGTGCTTCCTAGATAGGTGAAGAAGGTTACTTCCTTTAAGTTTCTCCCGTTGACGGTGATTGGAGTTTGTTGTTGTTGTTGATGGTGCGGTATCTTCATCACTTCTGTCTTCTCTATATTCACCTGAAGGCGCGCCTTCGCTGCCTCTTCTATCAACTTGCTAGTTTTCGCCTGTAGATCTTCAAGTTTATGTGACATCAGGCACAAGTCATCGTTGGCGAAATCCAAGTCTTCTAGGTTCTTTTCCGTCGTCCAGCGTATCCCCCTCTTCTCGCTCCCCACTGTTGTCTGCTACATGATCCAGTCGACCACAATAAGGAATATCATGGGGGATAGTAGGCAACCTTGTTTCACTCATGTCTTCACTTCAAAAGCATCACTGAGCTTCCCATTGTGAATTACTTGGCATGTGGCATCTTCATATAGTTGTTGAATGAGGCGGATAAAGGTTTGCGGTACTCCGTAGTAATGAAGCAGTTTCCAAATTACCTCTCGGTCGACGCTGTTAAAGGCCTTCTCAAAGTCGATAAAGTTGAGGTAGAGAGCTGATCGCCATTCTATGCTCTGTTCTATGATGATGCGAAGCGTTGCAATTTGGTCCGCACATGATTTGTACTTCCTGAAGCCTGCATACCTACCTACCTACATATATTTATTGGAAAAAGAAGCACAGACTTTTTAACTACAAATTAATAATATGTGTTAATAGCACTAAAAATGCTCACTTCCAATCTTAACTGATTAAGTACATTTACAGTACGGGTGCGAACACAGTATATCGATGATGTGTATAAGGATATTTGAGAATATGAAATAGACGATAAACTGGTATCTTACTACAGAGAGTAATTCACTGTGAGACCTGCCAATAGACTATAGTTTACTTCACTTATAGAATAATACGACAAACAGTAATAATAATAATAATAATAATAATAATAATAATAATAATAATAATAATAATAGTACTAGCATAAGTAACGAAAAGTCAAAGAAATCTCGAGACAAAATATCTGCCTTAAACATTTTAAAGTACAACAGTACAACACTGAAGAAAGATTCAACAATACGCTTAATTCTCCTTGTTTCAAGTTGTTAAGATAAATAATCGAATTAAACAATAGGTAGGTTATCTTACTGAAACTTTTAGGTAAAGGGTAGATAATAAAGTCAACTTTATTTAATCTATTATAGAAAATGATTGGCCCGTTTTATTTTTCAGTAATGAGTATTGGATAAACGGAAAAAGACGAAACTCAGAGTATGATAAAGTTTATTGTTCTCTGAATAGACAGGAGGCAATTCTTCCAGATGAATAATATACCGATGCTTACCTGTTGTATACGCCTCTCACTCACTCTTTCTTTCTTTGACTATATGGACTCTAGAGATGTGTCAGTAATCTGACGGTAATAGAAGCCAAAAAAAAGAGGTTAAGAAAAACAATGAACATTTGTTGTAGTAATTAATAAATAAACAGCCAATTGACAATGAACTCCAGATAAACTCTACTATAAAAACTCTATAGCTTTTCGACCAACTCTAATAGGGTAATTCAAATTTCACATCAATTGAAGCTTGACGAGCCAAATGGACAATATCAGCCAGTTTCACAGACTAAAAAAATAGAAAGGAATAAAAAACAAGTGAAGTGATACAATAAGTGATATATGTGAAAACGATAACAAGAATTTTTCCAGTTGGTATTCATCACGAATATTGGAAACTTCGAAGCACTGGAAAGCTGCCTCATCCCAGTATGGGACTCTTCAGCAGTGCGCACTCACCATCCCGTCAGGTTCTGCAGTCAGCAAGTTTCGATGGAGCCGGTGGATCGGAATCCAATGGGTCACATATTTCCAAACTCTGTCAGTACACGACATAGCGCGACCGCCACCCAATGTCACCGTTGAGTATTTGTTTTCACGTCCACCAGGTTTGCCCTACTGATCACGACTTCTCGTTGGGACTTCAGGAATCGCCTCTCAAAGCTAGTCACCAATGAGCACTAGTTCAATTGAATTTAGAGGTTTGTAGAGATTTAGAGATTTTTCCAGTTGGTACTGGGACGAAACAGCTGTCCAGTGCTCCCAGGTTTCCAATCTTCCTCCAACTAATGTCAGTCTATGATGAATACAAACTGGAAATACCTCTAAATTCCCACAAACCCCAAAATCCGATAACAAGAATACTGGCATGACCCGTCACTAAGTGAAGCAATAGGCAGGGCGAATTCAAATTTTCGAAGGGAAATCAGTTCCCTCGAGGTTGCTGATAGGTGCTAACAAGCATACAGTCTAGATGAAGTAGGGATTTTTAACAATTGTCTCCAGACAATAATCAGACTACATCGAGATGGTGAGTCCACATAACAAAATGATGGGTATATGGTGTGTTTATGACATGAAAATGACTTACAATGGTCTACTTGTATGACATACAGCTGGAGGTTATGAAAATGAAGAAAATGGGATGTCAAGACATATTATGTATAGCATCATCTACTGGCTGATAAAGAGGAAGAAATAATTATTGTAACCGCTTCTGTACACATTAATTCCAATTTAATTAGATGATGAGGGCGAGACACCCATAAGTACGTCGTAGAAAAGTTGAACAAGAATGGAGAGGGTGGACATCCTTGACGGACACTACTCACCGGTTCTTACTGTCATAAGACCTCTCGACCAATGGCATCGAATACTGTCTTTAGATCGAGAAATACAGCCAGTGTTGGACATTAGTGAATGTGTCTGTGTTCCAGAACCTTGTGGAGGGTGAATATCTAGTCGAAACATTTATGAACAAGTCTGAAACCTGTCTAGTTTTCGCTGGCCAGCAGTACCGAGCTCCACTTAGACATTTGATAATTGTAGGACCCATAATCTTAGACATAATTTTTATCACAGTTATCCCACTGTGTTTATTTTATCATAAGAGGATTTTTCACCTTGACTGAAATCGATCAGAAGGGATTATTCTCATACGCTGGCTTACACTTCAGTTAAACTGACCAATAATCCACGATCACTGCTCTTAAATACCACCGGTACTAATCTATTTGGCCCTGGTACCCTTTCTTATTTCAGATTACCCACAGCTCTCTCAACTTCAACAAGAGTTGGAGGCCCTATCTTAATGTTCCATTTGGGATCCGACTGGATAATGGGCAACCGGATGGTAGTTGGAGGCCAGCTGAACTATTCTTTGTAGTGTCCCCCACATGGTTACAGTCGTCCCCTTTGTGGGTGAGTCATGGACCTATCCTTTTCCGCTATAGTTTCAACTAACCCCTGACCTATCACCCCAGCTTTTTGACAAGTTTAAATAACTGTCTATTGTTACCTATCACCACTACCTTATCCATCTCTTTAACTTTCGCTACCCACCACTGTTTGTGGTCACTGCGTAGACTTTCGGTCGATCTATATTTGAGTAGCTTCCGTTCCTTATTTTGGTCGGAGTCTGCAGTAACGCGTTCACTGTAAACAAAGATGAACTGTAAAAGTAGTTTCTTCGGAGACAAGGACTTTTCTTAAATTTTGATATTTACACCACTAATAGTCTTCGTTAGTACTGAAGTTAAACACTATGTAGTTGTGATAAAGTAACTCAAAATACAGATTAATACGACAACCTCATTTATTCCATGCACTGTATGCTCAAATCATGATATGTAAAGTAAATTTAGAATATATATTGATTATCAAGTGTGTGCATACTTGCGACTAAGATCCACTTATTCCAGTACATGAACGATATCACTTCATTGTGTGATAGCCTAAAGGATGTGTAAATTGTATTTAACAAGTTTGCAATCCATGTTAGTAATTGCGTTTTGCAAAGAACGTTTGCAAAATCCCATAGAAGGCTGCATCTGAAGTTGCTGTTCACAGTGAATCATAAAAGAATGTTGAAAACTTCATGCATTTGTATAGTTTCACATATGAAAATGGACTAGTAGAAGACTAGGAAAAGTCGACGTAATATAAACTAATCTGAATTACATTTGATGCTGTAACAACTTTAGTTTAACTTTGAAAAGTTAGGCATACAACACTTTAGTGTGCATCTTTATGCTCTATAGTTGTGAAATGTTCTTCTTTTGAGAAAAAGATTCCCCATGAATCACTGTAATTGACCTGGACTTAAACGATAAAAAAAATTGCTTCCATACAGTGGCAATAGTGTGTGAGTAATTTCAAAGTTAGCTGATATCTCTTCCAAGTTGATATTCATAATGGACTGATATCAGTTGGAGAAACGCTGGAAACCTCGGAGCAATGGACAACTGTTCCGTCCTCGTATGGGACTCCTCAGAAGTGCACACCCACGACCTCACGCTCCTGGGATGGAAAGCATGGTCGTGTATTCCTATCAGAAGTAGGATCCCTATCTAGTGGCTCAGTGGTAACATGCTGGCCACGGAATCAGGTGTTGGGTACAATCTCTGCGGAGGTGGGGTCGTTGGTGTGCACTGCTGACGAATCCTATACTAGGACGAAACAGCTGCCCGGCGCTCACAGATTTCCAGTGTTGCCCCAACTGATCTCAGACCATGATGAATACCAACTCGAAATCAATAAATAAATCCCCCACAAACCCCCAAACCAAATTGATATGTAATTACCGAGGATGGTAATCATTATTATATTGGCGACATCATAACAAAACATTATCTTGAGTGGTTTGCATGCATCTTAAACATAGGATATACTATAAAGCATATTCAAGTACACATATAAGCATAAGAGACAGAAAACACTGGCCAGTGATACATACCATGCGGGCAGCTTCATCCAAATCACTACATCCCAAAATTTTCATATCACTACTAGCAATAATTGCCTTTGCATCTTCAACTCTAGTTCCTAGTATGTTTTAGGTTGTAGACAAAGCAAAAAAGAAAAGAAGAGAATAGATACTAAAGTAAACAATGACTTTAAATATATTACATGTATGAGAAAAACGTTTTGTAGGAGGAAAGTTACACTATATACGCATAGATGACAGTAACTTCGATAGTTGTCGTGTGAACTCCACTCATATTATGCAATTTTTAACGTAATCAGAGGAAAATTGTGAAGTTTAGCTATGCATCTAAGGTTATCCACCAAAAGACACATCTGAGACTGTAAGCAAACGGATGATGCCTTAGGGATTCGAAACCCATGAAATCCATCATCATCATCATCATAAGTATCAACATAGGATCAGGCATTACTGTGTAACGGTTCGAGTTGCCACAGCTCATATCAGTACACCGAGTAAAAAGGCAGTGAAGTGGAAGATGAAGAGAACAAAATCCAGTCAAAAGAAATATAAAGTACGAAAAGAGAGAAAGGAAGAATGAGAAGATGGTGAGATTCGGTATAGCGTCAGCAATGCGGCTAAAGACATAATCACTGGTTTGAAGGGATTTATTTATTGATTTAAATTTGATATTCGGCACAGACTGACTGGTATTAGATGGAGAACCATTGGAAACCTGGGGACACTGGAGAGGTGTTTCACCATATTTTATAGAACTCATCAGTAGAGTATACCAATGACCCTGCCCTCTAGGAATCAAACCCACGACCTTAAGGTATCACGATCAGCACTTCACCACTAAGCGACTACGTCGGAATCCAATGGTCCATACTTTCCTACTTCACCTTATTTCCTCCTCTCTATTTTACTTTTTCCCATCTTAATTATCATTTTGATATGAAATACTACACAGATGAGATTTGTTTTGACAAGTACATATTTATTATCATTTTGATTATCTGAGATAGCTATAGTTTAGCAGACTAGTACTGATACTGGGTGATAATTGAAGGTGAAATAAAAATCAGGATCACCGCGGGACTCGAACCATCACCCGGTTTTGCGGCCCAGTACTCTACCAACTAAACTACGAGGTCCAACTGCTGATCAGATTATTATTGAAGTGAAATAAAAATCTGGTCAGTAGTCGGACCCTGTGGCTCAGTTGATTGAGCACCAGGCCGCAAAACCCGTTGGTCGCTGGTTCGAATTCGGCTGCGAATCCTTCAATCACCACCCAGTATAAGTATACATTTATATTGTAATGTAAAAGCATATTTTCTAAATGACTGTATTGACACTTGACCCAAATAAAAGTTAAATTAGGTAGTCACTAACAATCCAGTGGAGTAATTTCATGCCTGGAGAATGATTAGTGATGAATTAAATTCTTGATAAGTAATAAACTTGTTAGATCTGTAGTGGAATTCTTTCCGCCTAGTTTTACTGTTCCTATTTGTTCACTATTGAAACCGAGTGACAATTAAAATCCATTCACGTTAAAGTATATCAAAGAAGAATCAACATTTTGAGTTAGCTCAAAATAATTGCATAGCTTTACCGAAAGACAGAGAAAATGTAATAATAGGTGACGTCGATCGAGTTTTTCAACACTCATAGAACACTCCGTTATTATCTGACTTGAGATATTGTCTAATATGATCTGCCTACCTATTGAAAACTTTATTAGTTGAACACTATGAAACTATACAACTTTGCATTGATTGCCGAGTATTTCAAACTGTCGTAACATCAATGAGGGACACTATTGCTTTAATCATTCACCATAAGATTTTGGTTATTTTTATGTAGAGCACAAACTTGCCACAGTATGGGTGCCAAGAGATACGCCATACAGAATAACAAAGCAACACTAAGAAAATACACACACACAAAATGGAAGAAAGAAGACGGAAGCAGCAGTCTGAAAGATACATCCAAAGAAGCATTTACTACTTTCCCTATTACTGTGGAACAAAAAGACTGCAGCATCGCCTCTTAGACTGTATTCAGAGAGTTATGGAACGCTTATTCACTGGTCACCACCTCTTCACTTTTCCAACCAGTCACAGAGTGAGTGAATAGTGTGGGAGCTTCTGAATGACATTTGTAACGCATATTCAAACTACCGAAACTCATTTTTCAGGATGACGGAACACTTTGAATGACAAACTTTATCACACCGAAACACGCCAGATGACATTTCCATTAGATGTGAACAATTCTACGAAGACAACGTTGGTCAAAAACGTGGAGTCATCGGACATCTTCAGATCGAAGATTTAGTTGGTCCATACTGTGACACGAAGAGTAGAGTGGATTAATTGTCTGATGAAAAGTAAATCGATTTATGGATTGACAGATACAGAATATTTAGGTAGGATAATCAAGTCGCAAAATAAGATTGAAGTTAGTTTTGCAATAGGCTGGGATTGATTAAAGTCTGCTGGCAAGATGTTAATACGAAACAAGAAGCAACTCATCTATAGATAAATAGATAAGAATTTAACACGAGACCTCTGCTTATCACCTTCTAGTTGGCCGATAATTGTTGCTCAGACAAAAGACAAGCTGCCCAGTTCTGCCATTTCTATGTGTATTTATCAATTCAGCTGCTCCTATGGAGAAAGCTATATCGGGTGTACAGTTAGGCAGCTTATCAAACGTGTTGGTGAGCCCCTACCATCATGGCTAGAAAAGGGACAAGTGAAATCAATATGAAGTTCAATTCTGTCATATTTGGTCAACAGTGGTTATGTAATAGACAAGACCAAACTGTTCAAAATCACCTATCGCACTTGCATTTTACAAATAGATGAGTTTATGGATATTAGAAAAAAAAACCCAGTCTTTGTGTGCAAAAAACGTTTGTACAATCTTTATCTCTGTCTTGGTTAGAGAAAACCTAATAAATAACTTCAAAGATAAGTTCAATTTTCATCCTGTTCCCCTTTCTTTACTCCTTTCACACATGTTTATTTGAATTTTGAGGAAGTTGTGGGGGATTTGGAATATCTCAAGTTGTTGCTCACTGTAGACTGCCACCAGTTGGAGGAACAAAGGAAACCTGGGATCACTGGACATCTGTTTCGTCCCAATGTAAGACTCCTCAGCAGTGAGCACCTACGACCCTGCCGGGGATCGAACCAGTGGCCTTCAAGTCCCGTGGCCAGCACGTTACCATTGAGCCACTGAGTTAAAATCCGATCGTCCATATTTCAAACTTTTGTTAGCTGCTAGCTCCCAGGTTTCCTTTGTTCCTCCAGCTGATATCAGTTTACGATGAATAACACCTTGAAATATTTTCAAATCACCACAACTCCCTCAAAATTCAATTGAACTGGTGCTCATTGGTGACTAGCTTCGAGAGGTATTCCCGAAGTTCCAATGGGAAGTTGTGAAGGCAAAGCCTGATGGTCGTGAGGACAGTTACTCAACGATGACATTGGCTGGCGGTCGCGCTATATCGCGAGCTAACAGAAGTTGGAAATATGGACCATTGGATTCTGACCCAGTGGCCAGCTCAATGGTTACGCGCTGGCCACGGAACCTGAAGGTCGTGGGTGCGCACTGCTGAGTCCCATAGTCGGACAAAACAGCTGTCCAGGTTTCCTTTGTTCCTCCAACTGGTGTCAGTCTACGATTAATAACAACTTGAAACATGTTTATTTGTCGAGACTTTGATTATTTACACATTTCATCCTCTAGTATTACGTAACTCGTATTTCTCTAAGTTTTCATCTACATCATTTGTCTAAATGTTCCCAGCACCATGCTGTTACTATTATTCTTATCATTATTGAGATAATTATTATCTGGCCACGGTCCAGATTCGGATCTCGTAGCTCAGTTGGTAGAGTATCAGGCTGGAAACCCGGTAGTCGCTGGTTCGAATCCGGCTGTGGTCCAAATTTTCATTTCGTCTTCAGTCATTACCCAGTATAAACAATAATTATTTGTGTCTAGATATCTACTATTTGCATACTTCATCTCCTAGTTACCACAGACTAAATAATCCACCATGATCGGTTTAATGTTTTATATATGAGAAAATTTATGCATATTAACGTAAAGTCTGATGACAGGTAATTGAGAACAATATTGTTAGCTTATATTGTCTCCTTTCAAAAAGAAAAACAACACACCTTGTAATCGTACAACAATTGGTACTTTAATATTTAACTCCGTAGCGGCAGCCACAATCCCATGAGCAATTATATCACAACGCATAATACCACCGAAAATATTCACCAAAATAGCATTAACCTTAGGATCAGATGTTATCAAACGAAAGGCTTCTGTAACTTGAGATGCTGTTGCTCCACCGCCGACATCAAGAAAATTCGCTGGACTACCACCATGCAACTGGATTAAATCCATAGTGGCCATAGCTAAGCCGGCGCCATTAACTGGATTAAATATATTTCATAGGGAAACAATATAAAACAAGGGAAAGAAAGTTCAAAGGTTAGTCATTCAAATAAAAAGTCATGATGAATATTTTTCGCATAAAATTCCTAATCCCAGATCAGAAAAAATATCAGTTATTGATTGAAATTAGGGGTTTGTAGAGATTTAGTGATTGGTATTCATCATGTACTGACATCAGTTGGAGGAACAATGGAAACCTGGGAGCACTGGACAGCTGTTTTGTCCTAATATAGGACTAGCTTCAAGAGGTGATTCATGAAATCCCAATGAGAAGTCGTCACCGGTGTGGCAAACCTGGTGGACATGAGGACAAATACATTGATGATGATTATCGCACTATATCGTGCGTGAACTAACGGAAGTTGGAAATATGGACCATTGGATTCTGACCTAGTGGCCCAGTCGAAACTTGCTGGCCACAGAACCTGAAGGTCCTGGGTTCGAGCCCCGGTTGGCGGGCTCATGGGTACATACTGCTGAGGAGTCCTATACTAGTCAGACGAAACAGCTGTCTGAAGCTCCCAGGTTCCCAATGTTTCTCCAACTGATGTCACTCCATGATAGTTTTACACATAAAAAAGAAGCAAACGAATAAATATTAACCTTCAGTAAGATATAGTGATCATAGTGTAGCGACAGAAAGGGTGGATAACAAAAGAAGACAAACTTCTGCAAGGTTAAAAAATAGTCTTTGTCTTTTTCAACAACCTGACAGTTTAAACACAGGAGAATTCTACCAAGAAAATCCACCAACCTAAAGAATTGTTGAAAAGTGTTTTTATTTTGTGATTTGATACACAAGACTCTAACATTTGAAGCATCATCTACTGTGTTCAAGTCTTACCGACAACAGTAACAACATAAGAAGATAACTACATCTCTTCGACTAGTTTGAAGGAGGATGAAACGTTTGGCTTGTGCTCCTTTGTTACACGAAATTGAAAAACGCTTTAATCTATATCGAAAACTTTAACGTTAACTGTATTGTTTGCAATTGCATTTGATAAGATTATCAATAATAATAAAGTATTATTACTATTGATTCATCTTGATGACTGGCAATGGAATCCAAGGCATGCGTTTCGTCCTATTTCGAACTCATCGGCTAGATGTACGTACACCCCCCAGTGAGTGCTGTTTTTCTCACCAAAATTCGAACCTAGTTCTCATCACTTCAAACACTGAAGTCATCGATAGAAATCAACAAACCGATCATCCAACCGTACATAAAGAGTACATCAAAGATCCTGACAAGATTACTGAAACCACTTGCAATTTATGTGACTCATGTACCAACAAATTTCCTTCAAACACTATTGTGCAGACCAAAGGAGGCAACAACCAAAAAAAAGACAAACCGAATATCATTTACAAATCAACTTCAATAACTGTAGTCAACACTACATTGGACAAAGTGGTCGACCTCTGCGCCTTCACTTACATGAACAACGATTGACTATTAAACGTTAAGACGTTTGTTACTCATTTCAATGCATGTGGACAGGAATTCAATGTTGACAATGTAGAAATCTTGGACGGAGAGAGGAAACACAAAGAATAGTCAGAGAAATCCTAGAAGCTTGGCCTTCAGACTAATCAGCAATCAATAGATGTATAGACATGGACCCAATTTATCAACCAATAAGAAAGACGATTAGCAACTAAAGTGTCAAAGGTCAAGCAGGGAAACAGCTAATAAGAAAATCTATACAGTCAAGGGCACAATAATCGAAGGAAACAACCCAATCACAAACCAGTTCGTAAGGGCAAGCTACTAAATCACTCACGGAGAAATACTGACAGCTCATTACATATTGAAGTTATACTGATGATGTCGTCTGGGAAAACGATGAGAGTTCCCTGAACAAACAGCTCAGAGAACACTATACAACCCAGACCATCCACCTGAGCTACAAATATTCTCCACCATTTCACAACATAGAACTTCGAATAATCGCTTAATAATTCAGGCTGCTATATTTTTCCTGTCTGTATAGATGAGGGGAAAACAAAAACAAAGAAATAAAAATAATAGTATCAGCAGTCGTGATCAGTCACCTGAACGACAAGAAGATATCAAAGGAATTTGAACACATAGTAAGACAATTTCGGCGAATAACAAACACCAATGCCCCTAAGTTACTAGGATTGGTTATGAGCCAGGAGCTTCATGGACTGGCGCCAAGCTTTGGTCAAGCCATCCCTCAATCTTCTTTTGACCTAATCCAAATCCGACTGACATTACACGTCGAGATGGGCGATGCCTCGGCATGCACAATACATGTCAAAGCCGTTTCAGCCGGTGGAAATTCACAATCTCGTCGACTTACTTGCGTCACTTGCCTTTTACCCTTCACCTGACTTTAGCATTACTCATATAGTTATTCTAACACAAGTGAGCAGTGTGATGAATACACCTGTAGACAAAAACCTCTTATCTATTCACGTATGTTTTTAACAGTTGGGTTTCACAGCTATATAGTAGGATAGAGAGGACTGTCTCGCAGTATATTCGTCCTTTGGTAGGTAGGTAGTCAATCGGATTTCCCACCAGCAACACAGATGACGTAAGTTGGAAAATTTTAAATGGGTGTTTTGAATGCGAAGTGAGATTTCATCAGTAACCAATCCGTTCAGGCTGATGCAACCTCTCAAGCAAGTGAAGAGATCCACGTACCCTACTACTTTATACCCCATCCTTAAACCAACAGAATGTGCAGACCATTCTTCAAGCAACATGTTATTTTTCACAAATGTGATGCTCATGCCAAACATAAATTTCTTCTCAGGATGTTCAGTAAACTTTGCATTTTGTTAGTGTACTCGCCTAAGAGGACAGTGTCGTCAAGACGTAGGCGATTTCCCTGAAACGCTGGAGGTAGCTGAGGTTATTTCCATCAGCGCGTCTACAACGAAGCTAAACAGAAACGATGATGGCAGGAATCCCTGGCGATACGAATAGCTGGCGTCAGTCAAAATCAAAACTGTCCATAAGCCCTTAACCGTGACTGACATGCTACCTTAACGTGGTGGTCGGGTTTATATATCACGATGACCTAACGAGCTGGTAGAACCCTTGTTCCTCCAAGGTCGTACCATACCAGAAAGTTCTCTTGGATAGTGATTCGATAAAAGGTAGTTACCCTTACCCTTAACATGCTCTTAAAGAATGGAATTATGCATGATGGTTTAGATCAGTCACCAGTAGTTAATGGCGATCCAAAACCACAGGACGTATGTCCGACCACGTCTTCCATAATACAGGCCAATTTTCGTGGCATCAAAAAGGCCGTATGTGACCGGCCTGTAGCAGATGTCCCATGGGCTCTGCGACCACGCACTAGCCCTTCTTTTTCAGGTATCTCCAGAAGACCTAGCCTTCCACGATGTGGGCAGCCAGGATATGCCAACCGCCTTCACAACTCTGTCAACGCTCAAGATGATAAACCTTTAACACTTCTGCAAGTAGTGAGCATTGGTTAGGACTACATAATTGCTTAGTACTCCTTTTACAGTCAGACAATACCACAACACAGAGCCAAACGCCGCCTTTAGGTCAAGAAATATGACAAGTTTTGGACACTGGCTGGTCCTTAAGATTTTTTAACGACTAAACATGCATCTTCCCTAATATAATGCTTTATTCCTAGATACTTTTCATGGACGATATCTTAGTATTTAATTCTTTAGCCTGAATACTATATTACATTTCACCCTTGAATATGTAGGTATCTGTGAAGCCGTGGTTCATTGGTCTAGGTACTTGGATTTTCAACCGATGAATTACGGGTTCAAAACCAGCTCCAGCTATCGAGATTTAGGCAGTCATGCAAGATCATGAGCCCTTAGACAATAGGTGTAGCTCATTGCCTACTGTACAAATGTGCACAAGGTCGCTGAGTGCCTTTCAATTCGATTCTATGTAGACATTCGAAATGGTAGATCATCGGATGGATTTATTCAATACTTTCAAAAATTCATCAGTTATACATTCTTTGTCTTTAGTAAAAGGTATTCTTCAGGTTGAAATGAATACTCCACAAATGCGAATGCATACTAGATTAGCTTTTATTTACTATTTGCGCTTCTTATTAACACCTTATTTAACAGATGTTATAGGTTTTTAAATGAAACGTCACTCGCGTTTGATGTAATCCTTATGCGAGGAATGTTAAGGTTTGATAGGAAGCGGTCAAAAATCGAAATCAACATTCAAGGTCATCAGCAGTTGGAGTAGAAGTGTTTTTGTTTCAGATTTCGATTTATGTCTATATATAGTGAAAATAATCTTATTGGACGATTCGGTAGCCAATAAGATTGTGTTATTCTATCTTAGGCTCAAGACATTTTTTATGTGTAGGAATTGTATATAATATGGTATAGTTTATCAAATAAAGTCACCGTCTTTAGTCACAGGTCAGTCTTTGTATGTTGATATTTGCATGACTCAGTGAAGAATAAGGTGGTGAGAGGGAATGGTCATATTGGCGTTCAACTTTAGTGTATCACTGGGTTTAGTATCGTCATTACCTACGACTTATTCCACTCAGTCACTTCAAGATTAGATATGAAATATTAGGTAGGAAAAATAAGTCGGACAGTGAGGTTGTAAGCCTTTACTAATTGAGGTGGTTTGTATGTGTATTGCGTATGTGGAGCTGACACTTAATCCGACCCTTGATGCTCAACGAAATAGGGTCAATAAGAATGAATAGTGGCTAGCAGTCGAATCCAGAACGCGTGTTTCCTTCTATTTGAGATTCATCAGGTGAAGGTATTTGCATCCCGGTAAGTAATAGTCTTCCGACTGAGACTTGGATTATGTACCCATCGCTTCAAACACTGCAACATTACTTGCTTGACGATACTGAGTTACTACAGTCACCCCTTGTGCAAAGTGTATAGTCTGACATTATGATGTATTAGTTACTGTTGTTGATTGATTTGGATCAAACTGACAGACTACTGTCGCCATTCGCCTATATTACAACAGTAGTCGATCAGTTGGCCCTAAAACAATCAACAACAGGAAGTAACAAATCACAATATCGAAGTAAAGTTCATTGTATAAGGTGTATTTTTAATTCTGTACCAAAACTTGAATAATAACCTGAAAACTCAATGTCAGATTCATACTCTTGAAAAGGATCTTCCTGGCAAGATCAAAACGTTGAGGAAGAATACAAAATATTTGTTTATTTTATTGTTTGTTCTAATATACTACGCCGGGATTACACAAGTAGAAAAACACCTTAAACAATGAATCATACTAACTCGGTGGCCAACATTTTTCAAATCATCCAGTCCATTGTTAGTCAGGATACCTTCAGAAGTAAGGTTCATTTGAAGAAAGTTCACAGTGACCAGATCAAGGTGTGGTATTAATTGATAAAGTCTCTGACTGTTGACTCGATCCATACAAAGAAGCGAAGACTATCTAGTTGGCGTCATCAAGAATCAATGTTTGAAGACCTTTGGTGACGTGGCTGAAAATCAATCACAAAGGCTGAGATGTAATACACTGAACATTCTTACTAACCTACATCTATTTATTCTCTCCCGTCTAATACAATTTTCCCTGCATTATTTCCGCAGGATTTGAACTAACAACGTCCAGGTTACCGACCAGGTGCTCTGTCAACTTAGCTACGAGATCCAGCTGCAGACTAGATCTTAGTTTAACTTCAATCACCATTGGTTTTATCCGACTACCATGTGTATTTGTGATGCATTACTATAGCTTGGTGGTACTCACACAGGCTACTCAGTCAGGACTTCACATATCAATCAAAATCTACTTGAATTAGAGAGGAGGAGTAACATATTGATTATCAGTTTGATTATCTGAGATAGCTGTGGTTTGGTAGACTTTTATTGGTACTGGATGGCGATTGATTATTATTATTATTATATTATTTGTCCTTTGGGGGCTTTAGTAGCGTATCGCCATTTCACTCTCCTCTTTGCAGTCTTTTCAGTCTGGATCCACGACTGCCCATAAGCTTTCATTTCTTCCTCACGCAACCTCCTCCATGTCACCCTCAGACGCTCAACTCGTCGTTTCCCATTTGGCTTCCACTCGACGGCCTGGCCTGGAGCGTGATGTCCCCGGACAATCTTCTCAATCTATGTCCAATCCAATCCATCTCCACTTTCTTCTTCTGCATATATGTTGGGCGATGGGTTCTTGGTTGGTTCGTTGCGGGGCCAGCCACAGCTCCTTGTTGCTTATTCTTATTATTTTCGCCATCTGATCTTCAGCATTGAGAGAGCATAGGCGGCATCTGTTGATGTGATGTATGTCTGCAGTTTGTTGGAAATGCTTTTCGTAACGCTCCCAGTCTCTCAACCATCAGATAGAAGCACTGACTTACTTCACTGAATTAGTGTTGAAAATCCGGATCTTGTTCACGTCTTATGCTGAATGCGGTAGATCTGCACACTGATTATTTCAGATCAATGCAGGAAGGCCTGTCTTGGCGTCTTTTTTATCCTGAATTTGACATCCTCATCTGTGCCATCGCTGCCTGTAGTTTAAACGATGCTCCTTAGGTAAGTATATGAAAGAGACAACTTCCTTTAGATTTCTTCTGTTGATGGTGACTAGTGTTTGTTGTTGTTAGTTGGGTATCTTCACCGCTGTCTTCTCTACACTCACCTGAAGGAAGTTCCGTCTTCGCTGCTGTGCCTCTTTCGCCAACTTGTTAGTTTTTGCCTGTACACCTTCGAGTTTGTGGGACATTAGACATAAATAGTCATCGTTGGTGAAATTCAAATATTCTAGGGTTTCTTCATCGGTCCAACCAGAGTACGCCCCCTCTTCTCACAGTTTGTTGTATGATCCAGTCCAGTCGACCACAATCAGGAAGACCATCGGTGACGACAATAGGTGGCAACCTTGTCTTACTCTTGTCTTCACTTCAAAGGCATCACTGAACTTGGTGACGATTGAAGATGAAATGGAAATTTGGACCACGGCAGGATTCAAACTAGCAATCTCCGGTGCTCTTTTTCTATCCAACTCAACCACGTATGTTGAAAGGGGGAGGAGGGAGGAAAAGTGTGGCATCTTGAAATGATGTACATCTGTACCAGCTTCTACGCTGATTTCATTCTTTTCTTTTTTCAGTACCAAATGTATGCATAGTTAAATTGAAGTTACGCCGTTAACGAGACCTCCTGTCTAATGAAATAAAGGTACACACTGAATAAATGCAGTTAGTGACTGAGTTAGCTGATACTCAAGTATGTGTAGATTATTGGACAACAGCTTTACATAATACTGAAGTTTTGCGTCATTACGACAGCATAAAATCAAATATACTACCACTTACCTAAACAACCAATATTTCCATCTAAACCAATATAATTTAATCCAGCATTGGTTGCCTTTACATCACGTTCATCTTCTTGAGACCAATCACGTTGAGCAAAAATCTCTTTTTGTCTAAACGCAGCATTATCATCGAAATTCATTTTACAATCCATACAGATAACTTTATAAGATGAAAAAAAGAAAAAGAAATGGACAAGAGAGCTAAAGTGGCATCCTGATTAGGTAATTCAAATAGTTAAACAGCAATTTCCCACATGTAGTAACACTACTTATAACCACAGATTTGATGCAAATTCATTTATCTTATAGGAATGAAGTCTTTTTCAGCCTGTTTCAGATTTAAACAATGCTGCTTTTCAAAACAGCTAGCTGCTAAGAAAAGATAAAGTATGAACTAAGTATCTCATTCAATAAAAGGTGGTTATCTTGGCAAGTTAACTAACTGATATCTAACCTACTTGTAGTCTTGTGTTGAGCCAAAATGCTCAACTTCTGTTGAAAGAAGGGCTCCTGTGCAAATGCCTTGATACTGCCGGATATTCATGATGCTATATTCATCTTGATGATTAGCAGCGGAGTTGAGGATACGCATTTCATCCTATTTTGGACTGGATGTACCTGCACCCCAGTGAGTGTTGTTCCAACAGGGACTCGAACCCAGTACCCGCTGCTTCAAACGTCGAAGTGTTATCCACTGGACATCCGCATAGGAGCTCATCTACCAGTAGAGGTCGAGCAACTTGACCCTGTATAGCAACGGGTAATTGCAAGTATGAAAACAATAACTGATACGTGTTGCACAAGAGTTGGGTATCGTGCCCTAGTGGCTTTGTGGACAACGCTTTGGCGCTTGAAGCAACGGGTACTGGAGTCAAGTATCAATGGGAACAATACCACTCACTGAGGTGCAGGTATATCCAACTTACAAGTCCTAACTAGGACGAAACGCGTGTCCTGGACTCTACTGCTAGTCATCAAGAAGAATATAACCTATTTCTCGTTAAGCTAAACCAGGCTAGTGATGCAGTAGTGCTTGAATACCACTTCTTGTTTTGGCATGTAATTCAAATTACAGTCATAATCGAAGGTATACATAAGTTTTATATTCCATCCTTAAAGTGAAGGTGAATACACAAACAAATTCAGGTGGAATGTGGGCATCAGACTGCATGTAGTCAAACAAAAGCTCAGTTGGTAGAGTATCGGGATGGAAACCCGGTCGTCACTGGTTCGAATCCGGCCGCTGTCCAAATTTTCATTCCAACTTCAATCATCACCCAGCAATAATACTAGTCCACCAAACCACGGTCATCTCAGATATTATCAAGATACTAATCACACAATGTTTGAAGTATGATGTACTCCCCACAGGGAAGAATGCAAGTAAGTAATCCGGGTGACAATTTCTGTAATACTTCTGGATATTTCCATTATTGTCACTTGTTTCTTTATAAGAACACTGACGTAAATAGGACCTATAATAATGACGATAAATAATTGTAACTTGAGTGATGCGAACTCTTATATTCTAGTTGCTTAACCAGCTTAGATTTTCTTCGATTGATCAAATAACATCAGTCTCTAGTGTGGTTTTCTTATAAAACAGAAGTGTACAACTTTATATCAATACCTAAACTGAAGAAAGTTGATTGGTACGGTTTTCAAGGGAAATTATCCCATTTAAAAGTCGAAGATAATTAAATGACTCATTAATGAGACAGACAGATATTTCAGTCAAATCGGTTGTATTGATTCCATTTCACACTATAGAACTAAGCTAAAAATAAGGTTGAAAAGCACACCTATTTCAGATTTATCAGTTAACACCTATCATAGATTCAGACAGAAAAGTACAGGTGGATCACAGGCATGCACTTATGAGGAGTCCCATACTAGGATGAAACGGCTGTCAAATAAATCCCCACAAACCCCAAATTGAATTAATCTACTGCTTATTGGTGACTACCTTCCAGAGTTGATTCCTGAAGTTCCAATGAGAAGTTGTGATCGGTGAGTTCAACCAAGTCGAACATGAGGACAGTTACTCAACGACGGCATTGAATGGAGGTCGCACGATATCGTGAACTGATAGGAGTAGGAAATATTGACCATTGGGTTCTGACCCAGTCGTTAAATGGTAACGTACTGGCCACGGAAGCTGAAGGTCCTAGGTTCGGTCCGTGGTGGTGGTGGGGGTCATGGGTGCGTGCTGCTGAGGAGTCCCACGCTAGGACGAAACAGCTTTCCGTTCAATGTTCCCAGGTTTTCATCGTTTCTCCAACTGATTTCAGTCCATGATGAATACTGACTTGAAATCAATAAATAAATTCCTACAAACCCCCCAAACTGAAGAAAAGTACTAGTCACCAAGAATAGATTTGCTGTCATTGACACACCAGGATGAGGTAGAACAGTAAGGAAACATTCAAAACTTAAGAGGACATAAAAATAAATAAACAAATCGAACAATTTTATGATCCTTTGATCTGAAACTTTGATGATAGGATTGTCAAACTAATCATGTACCATATTCCAAGTCAGTCTATCTGATCTACGTTCAAATACAGTGATTATTTTAGATTGTTAGCAGGGGTTAAAACCCCTTCACCTCCACAACTGTACACGATCAATATACAGCCTACTTATAAGCCTTTATTTCAAAAGCTCGAATCTGGACATACCACGCATCGACTATTTTTTCAAGTCACTTAACCTTACCTAGTTGAGTAAGAATGCCTATTTTATACTAGTTATAAGACCAACATTCAATGGCTAGATGAATTTGCGTCATTTCATTTATGCTTACCTTCAAGGATTTTTCCATACAAATCATTCCTCAGTTACTATTATCATGGGGACAAGACACGCACAAACACAGAAAATGCGTCAAAAATGACAATTATTACACTGGACAAGATAGTAAATGACTAGCATATGAATATTACCATTCACGTGGAATTGTATGTTTCATAACAGTGTAAGATATACAGTACATACCATCTCCTTTAATATCTTGAGAAATAGGATTAATTTCCAGTAGTGTACAATCAGATGCCATAAAGAGTTTGTAAAGTCGTTCAATATATTCTGCAGCTTGATCAGCATGAGCAAATCCTAATTTATGTGCCATATATAGGGCATCCTTTTTATCCAAACCCTTATTAATGTCAACTGGAATCTGGAAGTGCAAAAGCAAAGTATCAACACAGACAAATGTATCCAGTCAAGAAATTTAGTATTAACAAGTCGCAGAAGATCCCCCCTCCCCCAGTGGCTCAATGATAAAGTACTGGCCACGGAACCTTAAAGTCCTGGGTCCGATCCCTGGTCGGGTGGGGTCATGGGTACACACAAACCTCCACAGAGGATTAATCTAGCGCTCATTGGTGACTAGTTTCGAGAGGTAATTCCCGAGGTCCCAATGAGAAGTTATCACCAGTGGAGTCAATCAAGCCGAACATGGGGACAGTCATTCAACCACGACATTGGATATAGGTCACGCAATATCGTGAACTGGCAGAAGTAGGAAATGTAGATCACTGGAATCCCACCCAGTAGTTCAATCGTAACATGCTGGTCAGGGAACCTGAAAGCCCTGGGTTCTATCTCTGGAGGGCGGGGTCATGGGTGCCCACTGCTTAGGGGTCTCATACTAGGACAAAACAACTGTCCAGTGCTCCCAGGTTTCCAATCTTCTTCCAACTGATGCCAGTCCATGATGAATTCCAACCTAAAAGCAACTAAAAATTAATTCATGTTTTAGTAGAGTAATGAAGTAAAACTCAACTCGGTGAATGTCTTTATGCATACTAGTCTGCGGACCACACTTGTTGTTTGAGGGTTGGCAGTCCTTACGACACTGCCTGGTCCCCCCAGGCAGAAACAGTTGGGGTGGGATGCGAACTCAGGACTCACGGACTGAAAGTCGTTTTTTTAAGCCGATGAATTACATCACGGTTATGTAAACACAAAAAAACGTAATCGAATTACGTCTGAAACTGAATCATTTCCTCCAATCAACACTTCCCAAGTAACTGAAACACAACATGCTCGTCTTGAAACATGACAGTTCTAGGTTCAACCTTTCAAGGGGTCAAGGACGTGCACACCTGAGAAGTACCAAGCTATTTAGTTATCTCAAACAAGAACCTATGCGAAGCATGGTAAAGAAGAAGCAGTGCAAGGGGATTGGGAACGCATCGAATTGATGTAATATTAACGAATAAAGTAGGGAAGCCAAAAATAAACAGATAATAAGGAAAGCAATGCTAAAAGTACACTATAATCACCAATGATTTTACTTCTAACCTAAAACTCAGGTCATTTATTTAGTCGTGTAACCGTGTGGAGTTCATTGACAGAGTCTTGAAACACTAGCAAATGCCAACCCAACAAGATTGTCCTTCATCGTACGGATTGACCAACCAATCAGTTATAGGGTCAGCAAAAACAGTAAACGGTATGATAGTTGTTGAGGTCACATTCATGATAAGTGTTCAAACCCTCACCATCATACCTCAACTATTTTTGTGGTGTTAAGACTTACTGCAACAGTTCATTGGAGAAAACGATGACTAGACGCAAGTAGGTATCGACGACCATCAAGCGGAAGAGGTCAGACTCTTAGGCATGAGACAGCACTAAATAAAGACACTGACTGCATCAGTGTTGTATAAACAAGAACTAACAACTAGATTACAGTCACAATGGTATCGAAGTCGGTGCAGATTGGCGCATGCTGTTCTGACATTCAATATACGGCTGGATATAGCATCGCCCATATCTTCTAAAACGAAAAGAGTTATGAGAGTGTCAGACTGCGAAGGGGGTACCGAACAAATATGCAACGCTAATCAATGCTCTCTACTCTGGTTCAAACAGCACTGTAGAGGTTTATGGAGAGCTATCTTCTGAGTTGACGATAACCAATGGTGTCCACTAGGGATATCCGCTCTCACAATTTCTGTTTAACTTCTTTATATATGGTATATCGTTGGATATGACCTCAGGTCCCTACAACTCAACAGGGATTGACCTACTCTCTAGAGAGCACCTACCTCGTTAATTTGGAAAACGAAAACTTCACTGTCCTGTTACGTAAGACGCTGGCGAAATATGGAGACTTTTGAACGCCTTGAAAATAAATGTGGGTGTGTTCGGCATGCGTTTCACACCTTTCAAATATAAAAGGTATTTGAAGAATGTTCTGTACAGTCTACTTGTTTAAGGATAGAGTGTGGAGTGGTATGGTACATGGATCCTTTCAGTTGCTACAAAAGTTGCATCAGGTCGAACCAGTTGCTTGCTGACGAAATCTCAACTAGGACACAGAAGTTTCATTTAGCATTTGCCAACTTACATCATATCTGACACAGCCTTTCTTATCTACCACTCCTCTACGACTAACCTCACGTTGTGATTCCATCATATGCAAGCGACGTTCCGCAGACAATTATGGTCGAAAATGTATAACTTCATGTTTACCAACTTCAACGGCTATATCTCTAAGCAGTAGAGTAGGACAAGGGGAACTGTTAAGTAATACACTTACTTATATTAATAAGCAGTTGAATATGCAACGGACACTAGAGATGGTGTAACCTGAGAAATGCCAAATGAGATTTTTTATGATCTGTTCTGAAACCTCACCGACAACTAGCTAATTAAAACTGAAACAGTATCTTAAGTGAAGCAACTAAAAAAATGCAACTATGCTACTTCCCAAACTTAAACTAGGTATTGAAGTAAATCTGTTTCGGGGTACCGTTTTTTTATTTGACACTTGTGAAACGCATGTCAAACATTTGTAGACTTCTGTTCAAGGTGTTGAAAGGATCCTATATTTTGCCATCTGCATAACCTAAGTCAACTGAATACCCTTAGGACTCTCAGTTCCTGGCAAATCAGAAATAAATTCACCTACATCACTATATCTATTGATAAAGATGAATATGAATTGTGATAGTGAACATCCCTGACTTTTTTCATTACTTCAAAAGTAGTTACAGTGACATGAAGGCCAAATTTTTTTAAACATTCCGAGTCAAATTATCCGCGCCCTCAAATGCTCTGGTGTGCGTTTACACCCTTTGACAAAGAAGTTCTATTCATTGTCTTCACGTGGCGGGTCTGTTTCCACTGAAATGAAAGGGTGTAAGCAAATGACCGGCGCTTATCACCAGATTGGTGGATATTGAGGGTTTACCTAGGAGAGTTGGAAAACCCTGACTCCAAACCAGTCGTGCACATGGGCTCCAGGTTTCAGATGGAACAAATGGCGTCTGAACCTATTTTGGTCACCGGCAACCACAGGAATACAGCTCCTGATGTTGCTCCACTGCTTTGTGGATTAAACTTTAAGTCAAAGGCTCTGGGAGTGATCTCTTGATGGCGAATAATAAATACTAAAGTCATATGCTTCTCTCCGCTTTTCTTCGATTACGATTTAACAGGAGTTTAAATACCGGCTGATGATTTAGGGGAAATAGAGACTTCGGTCGTGGTAAGATTAGAAACACGTTTTCATTTCACCTTTAATCATCATCTAGTATTTGTAACATCAGTCTACCAAACTATGGCTATCTCAAATCTTCGGAATTCTAAGCTTGAATCCTATTTTTCTAGATCATAGTAGTAATCACTTTGTTGATTATTTAAGTGAGAGGTTTTGCTTAGAGTCGATTACGAGTTGCAGTGTAACAGCCTTTGAGAATATTCATTGAAGATGACATTTTCTATGGTATATATAATGGCTACAGTTTGTGTGATTAGTGGTATTCAAGTAGTAGAGTACTTGCGAACCTTTAAATACTTGTAGTTTTATCAGATTACCTTAATTAAAGCACTAGGATTTTCACGGGCTACATCTTCAATATTTACACCACCTTGTTCACAACCAATCACTACTGGTCCTCCACTTGAACGATCCAATACAATAGCCAGATAATGCTCACGTCTGGAATATTTACGTTCACAGGCTAACAGTACATTGCATAATTGACCTGAATCACCTGTTTGAGCAGTGAATATTCGATGACCAAGCATACGACTACCCACATTCACTGCTTCTTCTATACTGAAAGAAATATGAAGAGAAAAAGAATATTATGCAAAAGATAATAAAACAAGACAATGTAGGCGAACAATATTGTCTTCAATTTGATCTCCTAAGACTTCACTCTACATCATCGTACATAATTTCACTTATATGTAAAACATTAAAGCTGTCAAGGTGGTGTTTTAGACTGTGGTAACACAATGTGGTAAGTGAGGTATGCAAATAAAAACCTTAAGGTAATGATGATCATAGTAGTGTTAGTGTTTATGCTAGTGATGCCAAAGAATAATGATAGCAAAATGGGAGTCCAAACATCTAAACAGTCAATGCAAGTCAAAACTTTAAAAAACGTTACGTAATACTAAAGAGTGAAGTAGATGTATGGACGATCAAAGTGTAAACAAGTATGGAAGGTACGCGGAAGGAGTTTAAAGATCAACTTTTGTGATGGGTGTGCACTGCTGAGAAATCCCATAAGGGGACGAAACAGCTATCCAGTGCCCACAGGTTTCTAGCTGTTCTCCATCTGATGTGAACTTGTGATGAGCATCACCTTGAAATCAGTCAATCCACATAAATGTTGTTCCTCGTATAATCCCATCGTTAAGTGGACCGAATTGGTCGGTCTCTATTGGCACATGGGGTGCTGCGCGAATGCCCTGGTATTGCCTATGTTCGAATTATATGCTAGTTATGGGTAGTGACTAGCAGTGGAATCCAGGATGCGTTACTCATATATATATATATATATATATATATATATATATATATATATATATATATATATATATATATATAATTCAAAACATAAGACATCGGCGCAGGAGCCAATGTGCCAAAAGAGAACGGTCAATTCGGTCTACTCAGCGACGGGATAATACAAGTAACAACATTAGAACTATACCCGTTGCACAAGAATTTGCTTTCGTCACACAATAGTCTAGTGGATAACGCTCTAGTGTTTGAAACGATCGGTCTTGAGCTCGTAGTCCTAGTGGGAGCAAAATCCCTCACTGGGATGCAGCTACATCCAGCTGACGAATGCCCAAATAGGACGAAATGCATGTCCTGGATTTCACTGTTAGCCACTATCCTTCATTAGTACATAGTCCTCATAAATCTATCATCGGTTATCAAATTTCACCTGACGAAGGTACAGATAAAAGTTGAGCAAACATTTTCTACTCAAAAGGATTAAGTTTGCTTTCAATAATTCACATTGCCAACACACCTGTGAGTAATATGAGAACGTGAACTTCAATTGAGAGCTCTTGTGGAATGGTGTGACTTTAAAGGCCACCCTAGCAGCTGATGAGATAGCCAATTAGGTCCCTGTACTTTGTGGAAAAGTACTTTTGCAAGCGAAATACAGCCTGATTGGTCACACCTCATACACCGTTAACCATAAGAAGAGCTGAATTGGTAAACATACTCTGTCCATATGTCTATTTTTAAAACAATATGGATACATAAGGGGTTAGAAAACATTCACATAATATTGTTAGAAACGGGTTACCTTAGTGCGAAAACAGGCTGTCTAGTTTTAGGGGTGACTTTAAAGGCCATCCTAACAACTGATGAGATAGCCAATTACATTCCTTTAGTTTTAGCATCACTAGGATAAATACTTGTATTACTATGATCATCATTACTTTGAAGGTTTTTATTTGCATACTTCACTCCTTACCTTGTTAACATACATTAAAACACTACCATGATAGCTTTAATGTTTTATACACAAATGGAATTATGTACAGTGAATTAGAGTGAAGTCTTAAGAAATATCATTGAAAATAGTATTGTTCGCGTACATGTCTTCTCATTTAACAATAATAACATTCGAAATGTTGTTCATTGAAATATTTCATATCATGATTACACTAGTTGGTAGGCGTGTGATTAGTACCGATTCTCACCATTTTGCCATTCCTCCTTTCTTTCTTCTCATACTTTGTATTTCTTTTGACTGAATTTTCTTATCTTCATCTTCCACTTCACTACCTTTCTACTTGATGTACTGATATGAAGTGTGGCAACTCGGACTGTTACGCGGTAATGCCTGGTCTTATGTTGTTATTGATTGGTTGATTGTATGATACAATATGAGGAGTTTTATTCTTCAAGAGGGGGAAATCAGTTCTTTTCGAGGTTACAGACAGATATACTTTATTGATAAGTATTGATAAGCATGAAATGTAGATTCAGGACTTCCAGCTGATTACCTCCAATCAGTTAACTAATATCCATCAAAGTTTTATTCAATTTGGTGTTTCTAATCAATCATTAAATCTTGGCCTAGTTTATATTCGATGTTATTGTGAGTTAGAAAAAAAAGTACAGGAAATTATTTGACACTGACAATCTCACATTAATGATTAAAACAATAGAATGTCATAAATTCTATGAGACTATTACAGTAAAGAGTAAAGACAAATGCCTAGTGATTGTATCAAACAAAATCTTTTGGATAACATAAATTGACTAGAGTAAAGTCTTGACTCGGAATTTAGAAATCGTAGAATACTGATTGCTGAAGTGTTTCAAATTACCGCTTCACTGTCCCCTCAACTCACTCTGGTTTGTGGTAAGAGTATGAGTAGATAGAAGAAATCAACGTATCGCCTTGCACACAAGACCATCGGTTTAAGTCCCCACGCTTCACAGTAGTACACAAAGAACAGGTTGGTAGAAAACGAGGGATATGAATGTAGGAAAAGTTGTGTCGCAAAAAATACATCTGCAACATTGTCACCAACAGTCCCCAACCGTTGATTCCTATCGTCTCGAAAACGCCTAACCAGGTAGTCTACATCTCCCAACTCGACTCACATCAACAGTCTAAGACTTCATCGACTGGTGTCACGTATTGATCTAGCCACCATCAACCCTCTTCCAACGTAATCCAACTTACTCTAGCATGACACGTCGAGGTAGGCAGTGACTGAGTATACGCAACACATGTCGGCGCCACCTCAACCGATGAAGGTTCACAACCTCATCAATGTACTTGCCTATCTTGTCTAGTACTATTCGTCTGGATTCTACATTGCTCACACGTTGATTCCACCAAACTCGAGGAATGCTATAAAGACACCTGTGATCGAAACCGTTTTATCTCTACGTATCTTCTACTTTCAACCGTCATATCTTACAGTCGTATGACAGGGCAGAACGGACTGTAGAACAGTGTATACTCGTCCTTGGATAAATAGTCTGATATCTATTTGGGATTTATCTAGTTGGTAAACCTGGAGCATGATTATTGTTAGTCAGATGACTGAGAAATGGAAGCTAACAACCACTTATGCAAATATCGCAGTTGACTGCTGTGCAGAAAATATTGCTGACTATTAGAGGTTGTTACATTACTGCTGCTGATAAATTAACGGACAAATTAGTCAATCCCTTCTGATTCACTCCTAAATTCAACAGTTATTCTCCACTAAATTATATCAGGATATAATACACATGAATATTAGTATATCGTTACAAGTACCCTACCCTACCAACCGACTAGAGAATGATGAGTTCAACTTGACACAGTGAACAACGGAAGCTAATAACTTCAACGTAGACTAAACAGTTGGATAACCAGATAAGTGTGTGTTAAATAACTTGTTCAGACAAAAGAGAATTTATTCACTTTGATAATCTACCAACTTTCATCGACTGAGATGGTTGGGACATGTGTTATGTATGCCCACCCATCGTCTGCCTCGTAGCATAATGCTGACCGAAGTAGGTTCACGCTTCTAGTATGTTTCAGAATGAAAAAGTATCGCAAGTTATCGGTTGAAGATGATGTCTATGATTAGTGTGACTGGATCTTTCGTATGTTTTCTTTTATGCTGTAGTACATTATTATTACCTAGTGTTTTACATATAAACATATTCAAATGTAGACTAAATAATTATTGAATATACTAGGTTGATGATTGAAGTTGACAGGTAAGATTCAAAATACCGGTTTCGGGTTAACGAGTCATTGCTCCTAAGACTGAGATGTAAGACACAATGATTGATTAAGTTCTCATTTCTCTTATCACAGAGTTTTTCCTAGTTTTCAAGGCAGTAACTCATGTATAACTTATCGATTCACCTAAACAGAGACTAAAAAGAAGAATGGCTGGTTGACTATTGATTAGATCATTTGAGATACTTCTTGGTTGGCAGAAAGGATTTAGGTCAGAGATTCCTGAAGTACCAGACTACAACAGTAAAAAAATGAACATCTCTATCTCAAAATCCGATGGTCGCTGGTTCGAATCCGACCGCGGTCTAGATTTTCATCTCACCTTCAATCATCACCCAGTACAAATACTAGTCTGCCAAACTACGGCTATCTCAGATAGTCAAATGATAAACAGTTCGTGTTACTGTATAACAAGTATATCTAATTTCAGGTTGGTATTCATCATAGATTGACATCAGTTGGAGGAACACTGGAAACCTGGGGGTACTGGAAAGCTGTTCCGTCCTAGTATGAGACTCCCTAGGAGTACGCACCCATTACCTCGCCCACTAGGGATTGAACCAGGGACCTTCAGGTTCCGTTCTGTCAGTTCACGATATGGCAGAAGTAGGAAATATAGACCATTGGATTCTGACCCAGTGGGTCAATCGTAACATGCTGACCGTGGAACCGGAAGGTCCTGAGTTCGATCCCCGGTGGGTGGGGTCATGGGTGCGGCCTGCTGAGGAGTCCCATACTAGGGACAAAACAGCTATCCAGTGCTCTCCAAATGATGTCAGTTCATGATGAATACCAACCTGAAATCAATAGATAAACCCCGCAAAACCATCAAATTGAATATCTAATTTCGTTTCGATAATGCGTTATATTATCAGACTAATGAGACGTCGTTATACATCAACTATAGATATTCATTTCATACTTATTAGGATGGTTGTGTAAGGATTTAAGTGTCGAGTCTGATTTAATCACTACACAAATAAGTAGTGATTCTAAACGACATTGTAGAAGCTGCTGAAATAAACAAATGGATTTATTTATTTATTTATCAAAAATAACTTTTAATACAATTCTAGTGCGTTTAGAAAATAAAAATAAGATTCTTCTGGACACTTCACTGTGTAAGCCATAGTCTTCTTCAATGAAGTATTCCTTTTATACAACTTTGAATGATATTTTGATAGTTGAATCCAACTTTTAATGAAATTATGAATATCCGTCCCATCGAGAGACAGACAGTTGTTATGATTATCCTGAAACAATTTGAGCATCATATCTAGTTTAATCATCAACACAACCCTAGTGTTACTATTTATTAATATACTTGTAATTCTCCGTTGTTTCATTGGGTTGAATTGTTCGATCTCTATTTGACATATAGGCTCTTATGTGAATGCCTCGATATCGCTTGAATGTTAATTATGGTAATTAGGACGAAACGCACGTCCTGGATTCCTCTACTAGCCGCAACCAACCAAATTATCACAATATTAGTGTGTTGAAGAAATAGAAACAAGATTTTTCTGATCAGTGGAATATTCTGCTGATAGATAGTCTGATACAACCAAATCCTTTGAAACTACTCGATGCAAAGATGTCATTGAAAAATTCAATATGTTGGTAAAAAACTGAGACTAGCATACACCTTCATAGGAATATGAATCATTATAGTTTTTAAAGAAAGCATGCGAGTGAGCATGGTAGAACTGTTGATGGCTATAATTATCAGAAGGATCCATTGTTCATTCGACTTGTGTTAAACAAAACCAAAATAAAACGATTAGACTTTAGGCTACACTTGGTGCATTACCAATACAATTTACCCAATGCTTTGTTTTAATTATACAGTCGGATTCCCTTGGTCCGTGCTAGTTCTAAGTTAGTCGTCGCGCGCCATACAAAGGAAGTACAGCCGCTTAACGTAACGTAGAGCAAGTCCACGGACGTTGCTAGCTGTATGACACTAGCAGCTGAAACGGCCCACGATCAACCGCGGCCAAAGTCCAGTAACCTTGCAACAAAGTGTACCGAAGCACGCAAAGTAGCAAAGAAACTAGTCCCCAACTGCGTTGACACGTATCTGATTTCGGCCTGTATGACTCGACCCCCAGAGCCAATCCTTCTCCCGAAGTTATGGATCCAATATGCCGACTTCCCTTACCTACATTTTTTAATTGCCAGAGGCTGTTCACCATGCAGACCTGCTGCAGATATGGGTACGGCCAGCCATGAAAATTATACTACCTGGATCGGATTTTCAAGGGCCGACAAGAACATTCCGGACACCACAAGAAGGGTGGTGCTTTAGGGAGGCTAGCCTCCTATCTCAGGACAAGCCGATTCCAGGAGGTGGGTGCGCTTCTAACAAGGGAAAGAGAACTGTTCCCAGATCTCCCGCCTACATCTCCAAGTTCGGTTGCGTTATCGCGCTCAGTATAACACTGAACCAAAGGTCAGGCATGCATCAATCTCCGTGGACAGGGTCGGGAATATTAACCCGATTCCCTTTAGCTCTATAGGGCTCCTTAGCAAATGAAAGGTAAGTGTAGAGATATAAAGCGCACAGTGATACAGTATTATTTAATTGATTACGTTTCGAGCATAAGTCATTACTGCTCATAATCATATCAATGTAATCACACTTCTTTCCATATCTGATTTTATAGTCCTGTCACCTGATCTCTCTTTGTTTTTTGATTGGTAGTAAAGCTTTCCATATCTCTGGTATAGGTGTTGCGTCATTCCTATTACATGTGTTGGGTGTGGATTCGATGAACAAAGATTCAGTAATTAATCTCTCTCTCCACCTAGCTATATTAGACTTAAGTACAGTGGTTTTGTCCTACCCTATTGTGTGGTTGTGTGGTAATGAATGTAATGCAATGGCTGAGTGTTTTTCTAGGTTATTGATCTTATTGGGGTCTGCCGTTCTATGTTTAGCTAAATTCCTATGTTCTGTTAATCTAACTGACTCCGACCGGCTAGTTTGACCTATGTATTTGACCTCACAGTCATTACATGGAATTTGGTAGATTATATTATTTTGCCTAATTGGTTCTATCGGATCTTTTAGTCGACAAAGCTTACCTCTAAGTGAGTTTGTTGGTTTAAATGCCACCCTAATTCCAACCTTGTTGAGAATCCTACGTATGGTTTCTGATGTTCCTTCCTTGTATGGTATCACAATAGAGGTGTTGATTTCCTTTCTACTTATGTTGTCACTATTATTTGTATTTGTATTAGTGTTATTATTTTGGTCAAACACTTGAAGCCTTCTCATATCTTCCACTTTCAATGGCCATGTTTCACAGCCATACGGGAGAACAAAGCGGACTGCTGTGCAGTATACGCGACCCTTACTAGACAAATGGATATCACGGCAGCACCATAGGTGGCGTAAATTGGCAAAAGCCAATCGAGCCTTTTGGTATCATACAATAGTAAAAAGTCAACTTACTTGTAAACAATTTTCACTCCACCTTTCAATCCACTATCCCAAGTACCTTTACCTCGACCACCAGCTAACACTTGAGCTTTTAACACTATATCAGTGCTTTCTGCAGTCTCGCCTAATATTAAATTTGTACATAAAATAGATAAAGAAATTCAATTATTGAATACTACAAAATGTTTATGCAGTATAACAAGAATTTTTAAGCGTGTAAATTGTTTAAAAGTGCATTTCAATGCTATACAGAAAGCTGTAAAATCACTGGATATATATTGTTAGAACGTGAAAATACCATTCTATTAAAAGCTTTCTAATAAGAGCTATAAAATAAACACCAAATATTCTCCATAGAGAGCACTACAAAATCCCTACAACACGATTTGATGTTTAAGATGCGTTTATTGTCATTACAATACAAATTATTGCTCCAGGACTAGTCTTCAATGGTGTCCCGGCTAACAATAGACAGTGAAGTGTGATTGAGTATGTTGAATACTTCATTGGATTGGGAAGTTGGATTAGCTCTGGTGGCTTAGTGACTGACGAAATCTCTGCACAGATACAAAAGGCTTAGTTGGCTTTTGCCAACTTACACCATCTGTGGCGCCACTGTAATACCCAAATGTCTATTAAAGGTAGAGTGTACTGCGCTGCAATCCACTCTTTTCTACTGTATGGCTATGAAACATGGCCAATAAAGGTAGAAGACATGAGAAGGCTTGAGGCGTTTGACCACCATTGCCTACATAGCATAGACCGTGTTTCGTGGTGCCACCACGTGAGTAATGCAGAAGTCAGGTGTAGAGTTTTAAGCAGAAGTGAGACAATTGATGCGATTGTGAACCTTCATAGACTGAGACGGCTGGGACATGTGTTATGTATGCCTACCCATCGTCTGCCTCGTAGCATAGTGTTGACCGAAGTAGGTTCAAGCTGGAAAAAGATTCGGGGTGGCCACACTAAAACATAGCATCAATCCATCGAGTCATTAACTGTCAACTTCAGTCATATAGGGTGATGCCAAACTAGCCGGTTAGGGTCCGCGGGACAAGAGAAACCAGTGCTTGGAGACTCTAGGTGACTTGGCTCAGATGCATACACATATTATCCTCACATTAACCACATGCCAAGTGAACCATAATGGAAAGCTCAGTGACGCCTTCGAAGTGAAGACAAGAGTAAGACAAGGCTGTCAACTACTATCACGATCATCTTCCTCATTGTGGTCGACTGGATTATGCAGCAAACCATGAGGAGGGAGAAGATGGGAAAACGCTGGCTAGTTGACCGATGAAAAGACCCTATAATATTTGGATTCGTCGATGATTTATGTCTCATGTCGTGTCTCACAAACTCGAAGATCTACAGGCAAAAACTAACAAGCTGACAGAAGAGGCAGAGAAGACGGGACTTCAAGTGAATGTACAGACGACAGAGGTCATGAAGATACTCAACCAACAACAGCATCAACAACAAGCACCAACCACCAAAAACGGGAGAAACATAGAGGAAGTAGTCTCTTTCACCTACCTAGGCAGCATCGTTTCAACTACAAGGGGTGGCACAGGTGAGGATGTCAAAACCCGGATCGGAAACACAGCAAGACAGGCTTTCACTAGTCTGAAATCATTGTGGAGATCTACTGCACTCCGTTCAGCATAAAGAACAAGATCCGGATTTTCAACACCAATCCAGTCAAGTCAGTGCTGCTATATGGTTCACATACCTGGCGCGTTACGAAAGGCATTTCCAACAAACTACAGATATTCATCAACAGCCGCCTACGCTGGCTCGATACTGAAGATCAAATAGCCAGAAAGAATAAGTAACAAGGAACTCTGGGAACGAACCAACCAAGAAGCTATCACCCAACAAATATGCAGAAGAAAGTGGAGTTGGATTGGATTGGGCATACACCGAGAAGACGGTTTGAAGACATCACGATCCAGGCCAGGCCCTCGAGTGTAACCCAAAGGGGAAACGACGAGTTGGGCGTCCATGGTGAGGGTGACATGCAGGAGATCATGTGAGGAAGAAATGAAAGCTTATGGGCAGTCGTGGAGTCAGGTTGAAAAGACTGCAGAGAAGAGAGTGCAATGGAGGGGTGCTACTGAGTTCCTATGTTCCACTAGGAACCCAAGGGAAAAATAATATTATAATAATAACCACTATACATTATCCCATCATTTTCTCATTTAGCCTTCCTCTCTTTTATTACTTACTACTTCTACTTCCTTTGACCAATTTTTCTTTCCTTCTTCATCTTCCATCTTATTGTCTTGTTACTTGGTGTGCTGATGTGAGATGTGGCAACTTGGACTGTGACACAATAGTACCTGGTCCTAAGTTGATCTTGATGATGACGATAATGTCACCCTACCCCGTTATTCCATAAGCTTAGTATCACGTATAGCCACAATAAATGATCTTTTGATTTTTAGTGAACATTTAATTTAAGCCTCCTCTTTAACCCAATATCGCGATATTTGGTAACATCGGTATTAGATATTGGAAACATCAACTATTGACGGAATGAAGTTTAGATGTTCATTTCTTTTTGGAGTAATCAAAAGTATTATTAGAGTAACAGAATAAGTATTCAAATATTTTTTTAGATGAATAGGGATTTTAATTTTGAGGTAGTATTCAACGCGGATTGACATCAGTTGGGGAACCATTGAAAACATGGGAGCACTGGACAGCTGTTTCGTCCTAGCATGGGACTCCTCAGCAGTACGCACCTACGATCCGGCTAGGGATAGAACTCAAGACTATCAGGTTTCACGGTGAACGCGTTAACTATTCAACTGATGGATCGGGGTTCAATGGTTCACAGTTTTCAACGTCTGCCAATTCGCAATTTACCGCCATTATCATCAGAGGTTTTCAGATGGCATTCCCTACCATTTCGACTAGGAGGAGTCTTGACTGAAGATTCCCATGCTAGGATGAAACAGCTGTCCAGTGCTCCAAGATTTTCAATAGTTTACGAATTGATGTCCGTCCGTGATGAATATTAAAATACTTATACAATTAAGAATTATTAAAGTGTTTACAGGAAAACTATGTTTATCTCAGCAAGTCTTTCTAGATCTCTCGCATAGGCTTCACGATGAGAACAATTCATAAATTTAATTTGAATACTTTGATAAATTAAAACCATCAGAGTCTGGATCTATAGAAAGGACCTATTTTACATTAATAGCAGCAGACTATGTGGAAATACGAATAGTCATCACTAAATGATTTCAGAAGCAGTAGCTTTACCGATGTTATCAAGATGATGTTGCAAATCTGTAGTGAACAGTCAACAATGCCTAGTATTCAATGATACCTGAACCCAAAGTGGTTTAGAAATCTAGTGATCGTTAGATGAAGTGAGCATGAAACGTTATTTGAGAATGAAGTTTTAAGCTCTTCCGAAATCAAACAAGTTGCCATTATTCGTGTTTCTCTGAAGCTTGTTGAAATGTCATGACATTTGAAAGTAAATTCCGTGTAAAAATGAGCAATATTCGAACATAGCTCTTATAGAAAAAAACAAAGCCAGTGGTTGGATTTAGCTTGAAGCGTGATACAATAGTGGTTGGAAGTAACAACTTGTTCTACAATAATCATACCGTTATGCAAAATGAAGCTTAAACTGAGAACTGACGAGACAGGAATAGAGAGGACCTCATATCGTATTCATCTTAGTGACTCATAGTGGGATGCAGGACGTACGTTTCGGCCCGTTTGGGACTCGTCACCTGGATGTACCGGCACCCCAGTGAGGAGTGATGTTGTTCCTCCAATGGAACTTGAACCCAGTACGTCACGCTTCAAACACCAAAGCACGAAAGTCACCACTTGTGCAACAGGTATCATTTGTTGTTTTCCATTGCTATAAAGAGATCAAGTAATCCGATCCTATGTAGCAATGGGAAATTACAAGTATCAAACAACAGGATCTCATGTCACCGTCGCAGAATACGAATACTAATATTTTATCCCATGTTTGTTCCAATGATATGGAGGTAGGAAATATTAAAGAGGTTATAAAGAAAGCAATCTCAAAGTCAGGTGTTAAGGCTTCAAAACCTATGTATCTCAAAGATTTGCAATACATACTTTGTGGTAACAGGCAACTGCTGCCTTAATTCGATGTGAATGTATATTCAACTACGTTAAATTATAGTGCATCCATCGGATTGTAACTCATGGATTACCCTCTCTCTCTCTCTCTCTCTCTATTCTTGCACATCGACTTAAAGTGGTGGTGAGATCTCATCCTAAACAACATATAAGATCGCGTACAATCAAATATCGAATACAAATTGAAATGCCTTCTCAAATCTATCTTTCTTCAACCAGAAAATGATGGCTGTTATTCCGCAAAGATTCATCTGTCGGTAATATATAATCAAAAATCTCAATGGTTGGTGAATGTACTAACCTTCTAAGTGTAAATACACAATGAATGATACTGAAACAAATAACTGCACTTGGTGTTAAGATGATGTACGCTATAGGCATTAATTTATTGGATGCTTCATGCAAAACAGTCTATGAGAATCAAGAATATTTTCGCAGTAAAATCAGGGTGCAGTAACTTTGCACATTATAGACTATACCTTATGACTGACTCCATAAAGATGGATAACAACCAACCGGTTAGTATCGTTAATAAACCACATTCTCTATCTGTGGCACCGGCAACATATCTGACTAACCATCAAACGACGAGTATATTCCACTGCTGTTAGTTCTGTACTGGTGTACCACTGTGAGACATGGATGTTAAAAGAAGATATGAAGCGATAACAAGGTTTCGATCATACGTGTCTTCGTGGCATTCCTCGATGATGAGCAATGTTGAGGTCAGGCGAACGGTACTAGACAAGATAGGCAAGTACATTGATGAGGTTATGAACCTTCATCGGTTGAGGTGGCGCCGACATGTGTTGCGTATACTCAGTCACTGCCTACCTCGACGTGTCATGCTAGAGTAAGTTGGATTACGTTGGAAGAGGGTTGATGGTGGCTAGATCAATACGTGACACCAGTCGATGAAGTCTTAGACTGTTGATGTGAGTCGAGTTGGGAGATGTAGACTACCTGGTTAGGCGTTTTCGAGACGATAGGAATCAACGGTTGGGGACTGTTGGTGACAATGGTGCAGATGTATTCACTCCATGACGTCTTCTAAAGCTTGAATATTTGCATCAACCGTTATCATCAAGTTGGTTATTCTCTCACACAACTTTTCCTACATTCATATCCCTCGTTTTCTACCAACCTGTTCTTTGTATGCTACTGTGAAGTACGGCTACTTGAACCGGTAGACTTGTGTACGAAGTGGTATGTTAGTTCTGTCTGTCTGTCTATACTTGAACCTCCTTCTAAACACCTCACAGTTACACTGAATACAAATTTCAGAAAAATGATGGGGATTTATAATCGTCTACTACCATGCAGTTTTCTCATAGATAACATAAACAAATAAACGAGGGTTTAATCAGGCTAGAGTTTTTATTTCATCCAACCTGTTCCTAGGTCTCAATCTAAGCAGATAGGAATTATGCAAAATTAGAAAGTTAAACAAGCAATTAATCGGTGCTCAAGCATAAGCAAACGTTCAGTGTAAAACACACTTTCTCTCTCTCTCTACTGCCTAAGAAACAAAACAAGGACAAGCTGTGTAAATGCACAAACGGAAAACTTGAAATTGAAAAGGTGAAAACTACAACAGTGAAACACAACAACCACCGAAAAGCACAGGGAAAATAACGCCTCATAAAACAAACAATAGGAAACTAGTCAGCCTTACCTGCATTCTCTATTTCTGCTTCAGATAAAACACCTGAATAAAATGAATGATGTATCAGAAAAGTAATGATTCACAGTGTAAAAGATCGGAATCATAATAAAAGATGAAAGTTAAATATACAAAGCATCCTCAACTCTTGGATGTCATCACTCTCTTATATCACAATATTGACTATAGTTATGATGAAAATGCCAAATATGCCAGCTGTGCCTTTCTAGACTATACTTAGGGATTTGGTTCTCTCCAAAAACCTCTTTTGCTGGACAAGCTAACTGGGACAAATACTAAGTCCTGGATAATCAGCTGGCTGCATTCCCATTTCTCTTATAGGAAACAACATACTGTTCACAGAGGGAAGTGCTCCACCTTATTGCTTACTGTAACCACAGTTCCCCAACGAGCCATCTTTTACCCCAGTCCTTTCTCTTTCTTTCTGCATCACCTACCATCTTCAGATGGTATCAATTTTATCAAATATCCCGATCACCTAACAGTTTCCATATCTGTCTCCTCTTCAACAGATTGTTCCCAAATGAATGATTTCTTATCTACTGTTAGACGATGGTTCTCCGTGAATGGTCTTCTGGTTAATTCTTCAAAATGTCAGACTATAGCCTTCAGTTTCAGACGTGAACATAACTTGTGTAAACTGCTTACTTCTCATGATTCCTGTCCTATTGATAGTTGTGCATTAGAAAATGTTACAAGTGTGATTTATCTCGGTGTATGTTTTTATTCAGACCTTTCCTGGTCCTCCTAAATCTTACTAATTTCCAAAAGAATTTTCCGCCTAACTTTGTATATAAGGAAGCTAGGAGTATCTGTTGTTATTCAGCCTCTCCTCTTGTATTTTACAAGGTTCTACTTCTCACCTTTTCTTCTCTATTGTTCTCCTTATTCTTTACCGGGTTGTTGAAAAAAGACTATGTCGCTGCTGTATTGTGTAGAACTTTGAAGATTGTCAGCGAAACTAGTGGTGTAACTCTAAACCTTCCAGTTAAACCAGTTATGAACAAACAAATCAACTCATGTGAACATCTGTCAGGAGTTATTTCATCAGATGACCAGCATTCTCTTCACTGGAAGCTCTCTGTGTGTCGGTCATCTGGAAAGACGAGGAGCAAGTACATAAGACTCTATGCATATACTACAAAATATAAAAACTCTACAATACTGTATGTATTTAACTCGTCTACTGTGTGATGAAGAAAGTGTTAGAAATGAACTACCTAGTCAATTTCTGTTTTTTAAGGCAAACCAACTGAAGATGATCGTGTTACTTTTGACCTACTATGAATCTAATTGCCAATGTGATTGTCTACCTAACTATACGTTTTCAAGTAAGCTATAGATAGAGTGAATATTCTTATATTTTATATGTAATTTACACTTATTTCATTTTTATATGCATACATTTACACTGTCTCTCCAATTGATGGTATATGACATGGTGAGAATTCTGTAAAGTATTCCCGAAACAGCTTTTAAGATAAAGCCATTGTTATCATTACTATTATTAGTAACTGGAAGAAATACACATTTAGCGTTCAAATAATCATGACGAAAACGAAGGAGGTTGATGATTAGATGCTTTTGCCTTTCACTAAGAACAATAATAATGAAGGGAAGCTATATAGGCACAACAGTTTACTAAAAATTTGATTTTTTAATGGAATACAGATATAGTACATCCAGTTATAACACAGATAAGCAATAGAAGTGATGTTGAATACATAGATGTAGAGCTTTGTGAAATTGTTGTATCTGTATGAAAAAAAGAACGACAGCAATGACCATTCAGTCACGAGTGTCTTGAGTGTGTATCTCTATCTCTTATTGTCATTCGCTGGCATTCTGATCAAACCGTCAACGTTTCTAAGGTCTAGTATATTTCCTATATATTTTGCTAAACACAGTATTATTCTTCATTGTGTAACCTAGCGGTTTACCTTTGTCTCCTTTCTGAGTCATCTGGTGTGAAGTTAATAAGTTATAGGGTCAACTCGATGTAATAATAATCGATAAGACCAGCGTTCGACGATGACTTTAAGCGTTAATCTAGCAACTAGTGAAATAATCAAATAAAATTTTCCATTTCATGAAAGCGCTATATGTGCAACTAAAATGTAAAAGGTTAATTGATTATCCTAGCCGTTACTAGGGTGTTACTCACGTTTGATATTCCTCACAATCCACTAAGCAAATAGGAAACATAAAACGAAGTTAAGACCAGTAATATAGGTCATCACTGTCAGATTACACAGTGGTCTGAACTACTTTCTTTTCTAGGATCTGCATTTTTTGAACAAATGCATAATATTCGGATCCTCAAAATGGGTCTGTAAACTAAATTTTCTCTTATGTAACAGTAATTAGGAAACCCGTTAAAATGAGATTTCTGATGATGAGAAAACCTTAGGTAAAAGGATGTTTGTTTTTAAACTTATTTGTGTTATAATCTGACCAAGAGAACATGGAATCTAGACTAAATAATAAACTGAAAACTGTAGCATATTTTAATGTAATTACATTGTAATGTAAGTCATCTACCTGGTTTGTGTCATATATACGAAGCTATCAGCCACGCTAACCGTATGGCGATTTGTGGTACTACCTCCTTACCCAGGTCAAAATAGATGCAGTAGAATTTGAAACCAGGACACATTTCTTGAAGGTCAAGTGTATAAGCATATGAATCCTAACTCCACTCATGTAACATGTTGCATACAACAATTAATTAAAGTTCAAAGGGTTGAGTCTAGCGTATCCCATCTAGTGGGATAAGATTTTACCTATCATTTATCTAAAAGAACAATAACATTTACATACAAATGATACAAATGATAAAAAAAGCAATTCAGAAGTCTAGTGCAGGCTAAGTTTCAGGCAATGAATCACACTTAGCGTATGAGGTGTGTCATACTACTCGGTGGCCCAAGTTGAAGTGGATGGATAGTTGAAATTCATAACCCCCCCCCCCCTGGTTGATACTACAAAGTACAGATTGATACAACACTGCTAGTCTTGTACTGGATTTTAAAAGTCAATCGGCTCAACACTTAGGATTTAGTGCTTGTTCGCAAACGTCATCAAGTCAGAGACTTTATCACTAAGCCACTTTATCAGGCCACAACTAACCCTTTGCAGGACTGAATTATGTACACGAAATGGTCACCAGTGGCTTATCGATTTGGCTGTCTAGTCGTCAAGTGCTCAGTACTAACCAAAGTCTATTGATTAGGTTTTACAATGAGACCGATAAGCTAATCGACAGGACAGTGACGTGCACTGCATTTAGGTGTTAGACGCTGTGAGTTGAAATACATTACACAAATGGGTTATTACAGCAGCGATCTCAAAGATGGATCCAAAGAAGCACTCACTACAGTCGCTTTGCTTTTCACTAATAGAAGCAAGAAAACTGCAGCATGGTCGCTATTGGTTTGTATTTTGAGTTGTGGTTGCCATAATCTCAAGCCTCAAAACTCATACACAGTACCTACAAACGCTAATCCTTGATCAGACCAATCGTAAACTGGTTGTCGATTTTTTCAACTTGTCCAAGAGCAAGCGAACAGTGAGCGGTATGGGAGCTTCTGGAACGAGATACGTAAGATATGGTCGAAGCGACCAAAGGCGGGCCTTTAAGATGAATACACTCAATAAATGGTGATTTTCATCACACTAAAACTCATACCTGCTCACCTCAAAATTACTTACATGGTTATAAGTGTGATGTTCGAATATCTGCAGAGGGTGGACACGTGAGCAATGGATTCATGACCTGAACGAAACCCAGCCTGCTCCTCGTGGGTTAGATACTCCTGTGTTTCGTACAGTCTGCGAAGTATCATAGCAGCCAACGCGCTGGACACTACCAGTAGCAGACTGATACCCCGAAGGTCATCATGCACGTTAAGTAGACTCCTTTTAAAAATAGGTACAACAATGGATTTGTTGCAGTGATGGACTGCTCTCAGTCTGATATATTTTTTCAAACAATGTAGTCGGTTTGTTGAATACAGTTTCACTTCCATCCTTGAACAGAACTAGGAGTAGGTTGCATGGGCTGTCTCATGACGTTTTAAAACTAGCAGTTCCTTACAAACCTCTACTCTGCAGATGATAGGTACATTATCCGCTCCACAGATGGTTTCTCGCTGGAGGTTTTTCAGATAAACTGTAACAGTTTTCGACTACTGTCGGATGGAGCTGCTGGTTTAATCGCACTCGCGCGTCCCGACAAACAAACCTAGCGGTCCTTACATAAATGCCGTTTGATCTGTCGTGTAAGGGACTTACACACATTATTGTAATACACCAACATACGTCAAGAATTTGCAAGGAAATCGCATAGAACCAGTGTTTATTAGCGAGAAATTCACCAAAGCCACAAGTAGCTTTGCTCAACGTTTTCATGGTTTCTTGTAAATTTAACCAATGCTCATCTAAATTTTCTATGCTAGCCTGGAATCTGGTCTGGTTCAGTATTTAGTTACAATACTAGGTACAACCAGTTTACTGTCACTGACGCGCTTCGGATAATTTCGATGAATACAAAATGCCAGACGAACTCGGCACACACTAAATCGTGGCCAGTTTAGACTTGCTGCATAAGGAGTTCGAGTCCTAAGTATATGAACGTCATAGGTAACTGACTGGAATATTTCAGTTCAAGCCTCAGTGGCAGAGGTAGGACGGCATGTAGCACAACTGCGATGGCTATGCAATAAGTTGGTGTTAACCAGAAACAAGTAACCAGTGCAAAGCTGCAGAAAACGTTGTTCACTATCTAACCTGTCACCGACTAACCCCCATTGGTTACCTAAACGACTCTGTTCCAAGTCTAGAAGCCCAACCTGTATATCCAAGTCCCCAGCTAGTACTACAATATCTGTCAAGTGCACCTGGTAGAGAAAGTCAACCAGTTGATGGTAGAACTTGCCCATAACTGCATACGGGTTGTAGTTAGTCGGGGGTTAGGTAGAGATGACGAAAAGATATTGTTTGCCTTGCCGGTTACCTCTCGCTCC